TGAACACCTGGTGCAAAAGATGAAAACAACTGTGAAAAGGGGCTTGGTGTTAAGGTACCTCATCCATGGTTCCTAAGTGGAGAAGAAAAATAAGTTTTGGCTTAAACTCATAGAATGGCCAGGGTTGGGACACCCTGAGGAATCTGTAGATATAAAGGGAGGGGGCCAGCCTATCCCTTGAATCCTGGGAGGAGACAAAAATTGAAAGGAAAGAACAAAGGCAGAAAGGGGGGATGGAAAGCCAACCACAGAGTCACAGGCTTTTGGTCTCCACCTGGCAGGAATGAAAAGTGCAATGAGAACTATACCACTGACTTCATTTTCAACCTGTACTCTGAGGAGGGGAAGGGCATCTTCGACAGCAGGAAGAATGTGCTTGGTCACATGCAGCAGGTAGGGAAGACACCCTAGTCATGCCCTTCATCAGACAGCCGTACCTGCCAACAGCCACTGAGGCTTCCACTGGCCTTTTCCAGTCTTCTGGAGGAGCCTGTTAGTGCCATCATAGAGCATGGGCCTGCAGTCTCTTACAGTCATAGAATCAAAACATCTTTATCCTGGAAATGACTTTAGAGATTATATGGTCTATCCTTTTCATTTAGGGGAGGGTTTTCAACCTTGGCAGCTTTGCCTTTTGGGGCTAGATGATGATTTGTTATGGGTAGCTGTTCTATGCACTGTAGGACAGTTGCACAGCATCCCTGGTGTCTACCCACTAGATGCCAGTAGCACCTCTCACTCCCGATTGTAACAAAAATGTCTCCAAACATTCCCACTTTCCCACCTGCTTCCTCTTTAATTCAAAGGAAATCTGTATGATATTTTGTATTATTCTGAGGTGCTACCAAGGGCAGCCAGATTGGGCCACAAAAAACACTTTTATGTCATCATTGACAGTGACCAACAAAAGCTGCTGGGCTGAAGAGGGGCAGGCAGCTGACCCTTTGGCCAATAAGACTAAAAGGATCTGGCAGCTGTGGAGCTAAAAGAGGGGATTGTGGGGCCAATCATCTTCTTTAGTTATTCTTATATCTGATGCATGGCCAAATGTGCTGGGCCAGCCTGGCCTTGGATCCTGGCACTGCCTCAGGACACCCTTTCATAGTTTGATTTCTGGATTCCTGTTTTGGGCCGTAAACCTGGGGCCCATCTTTCCTTTTTCTCTGTGTGTCTCGATATCTCTGCCAGTTTATTAGAGTGCTTCCCTCTGTAATTTTTATGTTTCTTTCTCCAGGGTGGGAGCCCAACCCCATTTGATAGGAATTTTGCCACTAAGATGGGTGCCAAGGCTATGAACTGGATGTCTGGGAAAATCAAAGAGAGTTACCGTAATGGTAGGTGGGAGACCGAGTGCCCTCTGTAGAGGCTGGTTCCCCAGTATAGAAGCTGATTGACCATCCCTTATTGCAGGGCGGATCTTCGCCAATACTCCAGACTCGGGCTGTGTTCTGGGGATGCGTAAGAGGGCTCTGCTCTTCCAACCAGTGACTGAGCTGCAGGGCCAGACAGATTTTGAGTGAGTACCTCTGCTTTCTGGAGTGGTTCTCTCCCTGGTAGTTTCAAGCTCTACTGTCCTCAACCTGTTCACTGTCTTTAATCCTTTTTTTTTAAGGAGTAACACCTGTATTCTTACCCATTTCAGATGTGATGCACATGTCCTAAATCTAACCTCTTCTGTCCAACTACTTTCTATAAACCTTTGGTAGAAGTTGATTAGGGTACTAAAAGATTATATCATCATCTACCTCATTCCTCTGTAGGCATCGAATCCCCAAGGAACAGTGGTGGCTGAAACTGAGGCCCATCCTCAAAATCCTAGCCAAGTACGAGATTGACTTGGACACTTCAGACCATGCCCACCTGGAGCACATCACCCGGAAGCGGTCTGGGGAAGGGGCTGTTTAAACCTCTCTGGAGTGAGGGGAACAGATTATCTGATCATGGTCAGCTCACCCCCTGATAAGTCCACATCTTCTCAGTGTTTTAGCTGTTTTTTTCATTAGGTTTCCTTTTATTCTGTACCTTGCAGCCATGATCAGTCCTGGCCAGGAGCTGGAGGGGGCAGTGGGTGGGAGCTCCTTTTAGGTAGAATTTAACATGACTTCTGCCCCAGCTTTATCTGTCACACAAGGCTGGGCACCTCTAGTGCTACTGCTAGATATCACTTGCTCAGTTAGAATTTTCCTAAAAATAAGCTTTATTTATTTCTTTGTGATAACAAAGAGTCTTGGTTCCTCTACTACTTTTACTACAGTGACAAATTGTAACTACACTAATAAATGCCAACTAGTCACTGTGCTTTCGCTTCTCCTGTTATCATCTTCCCAAGTGGAATGTAATACTGTCAGCCCCATGTATCAGACACTTGCCTGATGAAGCAGTAAAGATGTTAAGGGTATCACAGGGGGTGGAGGAAGGGATTATCTCTAGTACACTACTTGCTGGCTGTCTGAAAAATTATCACTGCCAAACTCTAAAAACAGTTCTAAATAGTGACTGAGAATGTTTGTTGCTGGAGTCAGGGATTAAGGCAGCCAGATACTCTTTGCACAGTTCTTCAGTGGGAAGAGAAATTAACAATAAATATCAAGCACTGTGGTAGGCATTTCATCACTGAATCCTCAAAGTAGCTTTTGGAGGGCAATAGCGACAGCCTGACTTCAGAAAGGAGGACACTGGAGCTCAAGATGATTGATTACATAATGTCTCCTTCAATATTATTCAAGTAGAACTCAAAACTCAGTTCTGACTTCAAACCTCATCCTCATTCCCCATTCCTCTGCTTCCTTACCATGCCATATCAAATCCCCAGAGCCATAAGGCCTATGAAAATGAAGTGAAAGGGAAAGTGCAAGCATTCATTCAGAACATTTTAAATGCTAATTGCCATTGATTTATAGGTTCTCTTTCCTATCTTTAATCTTAGAGCTGTTTCCTCGAGAAAATGAAGAGGGAAAGATGGCTCAGGGGAAGCTAATCAGAGGGAAAATGTCACTCTGTAAAGACTAAAAAAATTAGGATGATGATACGATCTGGGAAAAAAAAAGGCATAGTGAAGACCACTTAAAAACAAAAAAACGAAAACCTGTGAAGGTGCATGCTATTTCCCCACAGCTAAAAAGATAAGTGAAATTGTGTTTGAACTCTTAAGTGGAAGTAAAGCAGAAGTTATTAGCTACCAGCCACGAGTGATTATGAAGTAACTGAGAAACAGGTGACATTTTTTCCCACATGGACAAAACTTTCTCTTTCCAGAATATTAAGTATCTATGATGAGAAATGAAATAGCATCTAAAGCAGTTTATAAATCTACCAGAATATTAGAATCACCTGAGGCCTTTGAACATACTCATGCCCAGGTCTATTTATTTTTCTGTAGAGATGGGGACTTCAGCTCCTGGTCTCAAATGATCCTCCCATCTCGGCCTCCTAAAGTGTGAGGATTACAGGCATAAGCCACTGCGGCCAGCCCTACTAGGTCTGCTTTGGACCAAGTAAATTAATCTGTGGGGGTGGAGCCTGGGCCTTAGTATTTTTAAAATTTTTCCTAGGTGGTTCTAATTAACAACTAGACTTGAGAACCACTGACTAACGCAGTGGGATCTCATTCCTGGCTACATCTGAAGCACTCAAGCCCCCAGAGACCAGAAAATTCCAAAGAATTGGTATGAGGTGAAGTCTTGGCACCAGTGTTTTTAAAAAGCCTTCTTAGTAATTTTATGTGCAGCTGGAGTTGAGAACATAAAAGTAGTAATTCCAAATTTGGGGTGGGAGAAGGTATAAAGGAAGGGGAAGCTCTTCAGATACTCTGCCCAAGCCCTCATGTTCACTCCAGCAATGCCCAGAATCACTGTTGCTAATGGGAGAAAGGTTGGGATGAAAAGTTACATTGAACAGCCAGGCAGTAAAAGAAGAACTTTTTCTAAGGGGGGTTGGAGAAAAGTAGGAAAAGTAGAAATTGCCAAACTTGCTTTTAGAACTATTTATTCCTTTTTTTTTTTTAATGGTGTTTTTTAAACACCAGCATCAATAGGACAAAAGACATCTGTTTTCCAATTAGCTGTGTCAGTAGATTCCATTCATTGTTTGTAGTTCCCAATCAGCTTTAAAAAAAAGTTTTTCAAATTTGCATACAAGTCATCTAAAATCAATAACAACTTGATCTAGTTTAGAAACATGAAATGAAAGAGTATTGTTCACTAAAGCAGATCTCTTTTGGGTACATGGACCATCACAAAAGCAGCTCTTACATGCTTTTCCCACTCCCATCCCAAGTCCACCCTCCCGCCAATTGTATTGTGTAAATCAATAAAAAGCAAAGGTTCCAGAACAACTGAAAGAAAAATAATTCCAAACTAAGCAGAGTGAGCTTTCCATTGGGAATGAAGACCTATGGGAAAAGGCAGCCCAGCCCATAAGTCCTCCCTCCTGGCACACACACTGTAGGTGTAGGAACTGCCTGCGAAGCTCATTAGAACACACTGGCTCTCAGGAAGAGAAAAAGCTGCATTACAAGGGAAGTTCTCAGGGCTTTAGGAGTTCTTAGGACTGTTATTTCAGAGCTATTACTGTTATTGCAGAGCTCTTATTATTTCAGAGCTACTGTGTAGCCCTTGGGCACAACCAAGAGAAAGAGGCAAAGACTGCTGTTTCCTTTGATGAGGGGAAAGAAGTCCAGTCCCTTCTGAATGCCCCAGGACATGGCACACTAGGGATGTCATCCAGCCCAGTTCTGGATCTGCATCATTTGAGGTTATAGTATCCTCATCTTTGGGACGCAATTGCTGTTAGCTGAAATTGTGATTTTCTTAAATTTTTTCACATATCAATTAAAATCTTTTTTTTTTTTTTGAGACGGAGTTTTGCTCTTGTTGCCCAGGCTGGAGTGCAATGGCGTGATCTCGGCTCACTGTAACCTCTGCCTCCCAGGTTCAAGCAATTCTTCTGCCTCAGCCTCCCGAGTAGCTGGGATTACAGGCGCATGCCACTATGTCTCGAACTCCTGACCTCAGGTGATCCGCCTGCCTCAGCCTCCCAAAGTGCTGGGATTACAGGTGTGAGCCACCATGCCTGGCCTAAAATGCTTTCTAGAAGGGATTCTTCTGGACCATTAACCATGTCCCCAAAGGAAAACCACACACACATTCTTTAAGTACTTTCCATCTTCCCAGAGAAATTTAGTTGCACTGTTGACTCCTTCCCTAAGGGGGAGGATTGAGGGAGACTTCTGCAAAGTGCAATATAAAAAGCCAAGTAAGCAATAAACAGAAAACAAAAGTGAGGGATTTTTTTTGTTTGGTTGTTTGGTTTGGGAAGGGGAGGTGCTATGGAGGTTACTGTTGTGACATGTTGCTTCAAAATCTATAAACCACACAACAGGAACAACTGTTTTTCTGTTTTCTGTGACAAAGAGTACTGCAGGCACAACCTCATCCAGAGTTGCCTGCATGATGGTGCAAACATATTCTCCGGGCTATTCTAAAAGTAACAGGTATTCCTTCAAAGAAGCTGGCAGTGGAAGGCCCTTCACTGCATCAGGGAGATACTGGAGTCCCAGGCTACGGCGTACGGCATAGCGAGCAAGTGTTTTTAGAGTTCCTGGAGCTGAGCACAGAACAGTCAGTTTTTCACATAGCTGCGGGTCTCTGGCCACCTCTCGTGGCATCGTGCCATTTTTCCTCAATTCAAAGTGTCCAACAGCTCTGTGGAGGAGCTCAAAGCAAGAGTCCTCTTTCTCTGTTCCAAGTCCCCTGACTAGCAGAGCCACCAGGCGGGAGATGGGTGTCTGGCCTATTAGGTTGATGACTCTGACCTCTGCACCATAATCCAGAAGAATACTGACACTCTCAAGATTTCCTTTCATGGCAGCCCAGCTGAGCGGTGTATCATTGTTATAATCCAGGGCATTGACAGAGGCCCCACTCTCTAGGAGAGCCCGCACACACTCAGCATTGTTCTTAAAGGCTGCCCAGTGAAGTGGGGTATCTCTGTTGCCATCCAAAGCATTTGGGTTTGCACCATACTCCAATAGGACCTCCACACAAGCCTCATCTTTCTCTGCTGCATAGTGGAGGGCTGTTCGGTTATACCCATCCAGGGCATTCACCTGTAAAAAGGGAGGAACTATTACAGTAGACAGACTACTGAGAGGAAGACAGGACAGCAGCAAAGAAGCTTACATGGTTACCCACTACCTTTGCTATGCAGTGCTCTGAACAAGAGGGTCAACAAGCAACTCCCAGGGAGTGCTGGTGATAAAGATGAAGATATGACAGGAGCTTAGGAGCAAAATGGAAAAGAACTGTCCTCAAACAGTCAACACTATTATGTGCATTGACTAGCTGGTCTGCATTATTTCGGTTTTTGCTGCAATGTTCATTTATTCGTTAGAAACTCTACCACAGAGTAAAGGGTAAGGCAGGAATAGAGGAAGTCTAAGTCCCTGTAACTGCTCAGAAAGATATTTACTGGAAAGTTGCTTGACTACACAGAGTTTTGGATTATTTTACTTATCCTGACCCTTTCTGTACCCTGTGGCTAATGTAGCAATCAAACTGAAAAACACAGCTTTTGCTATGTTCTTTAACCATACAGAGAAGTTCAAAATGTTAGAATGTAAGTCAGACCTTTCCAAAAATATGCTGTGGGTTCACAAGAGAACCCAAATGAAAGTATGTGATAGGAAGAACACAAATCTCCCAGTGCTGGAAAAGCAGCTGGCTTGCTGACAGTCAGTATCACTTGCAGTTTTTTTCTTCACATTTCCAAATAGCATATTCCCTCATCAATGAAAAAACAAAACAAAACAAAAAAAACCCTAAAACATTTAAGTAAGTTCAACCTTCTTTTGGCTAAAACCTATCTTAAGTACCACTTCTTAAGTACTTTAAGTACTTAGATTTAATTAGAGTTGAGGGATCTCTGCGTTTATATTTCCTGGATAGACAATAAGCAATGAGAAGATTAAATGGCAATATAAACAGCACCTACAAGGTAAGCTTCCTGAAGTGATGGCCAGTGACAGCTTAAGTTAAGGAGAAGAAAGAAAAGCAGAGTATCAGCACTATAAAATGGGGCAAGCAGGGTGGGGACAGAAAGGCAAAGGAATGAAATCCTTAGATCATTTTATATATTTACCATTACATTTTCCTTAATATTGGCTGTGCCAACATTACCTTGAGTTAGAATTTCAGACTGGAGGAGGGAAGAGATGGAGGAGTGATGGGGACAAATTCTAAGAAAGCATGAAGCTCAAGTTTTAGTGAATCATTAATGTGAATGTGTTAAAAACATTACCTCAGCTCCTTTTTCCAGAAGTAACTCCACACAGTCAGCATCTGACACCATACAGGCACAGTGCAAGGGCTTCAGTGTACCATGAGTGCAGTTCACATCTGCTCCCTGTGGGCAGAAGACAACTTCAGTCAGTGTGCTCAGCACAGAATTCAGAACTGAGTCCAGGGGACAGAGCGTTCTCTATTTTATAGGTACACTGCTAGTTCCTTGTTTCCTTTTCTATTAATTAATATGCCAATGTCCAAACTAAAGGAGTACACTGAAGAAGAAGGAAAACAACTGTTAATTCCTTAGATCAAGTTACTAAGTTCCTCCACAAGGGAGCCTGCCAGATGGTCATCTGGACATTATTGAAGACATAATCTTATGTGTCAAAGCACTGGAAATCTTATCATCAGGCAGGAAAGCTGGACCAGCAATCCACTTTCTATGGCCACTATGCTCTGAAAAAGTAGGAAAGTGAGTCTGTCAGACTGAGGCCAGAACTGGCATGCATTTTTGGCCATTCAGCAAATGACCATCACTAATAGTGGCATCATATTAACACTATTTTTCCTTGTTTATAAACATCTTCAAAGTAGCCTCTTAGTATCAGCATTCTTTACCACCTAGCCTTTGCTGGTGCTTCTATTCAAAATCAAAGGACAGGCTGGGCACGGTGGCTCACCCCTGTAATCCCAGCACTTCGGGAGGCTGAGGCGGTCAGATCACCTGAGGTCAGGAGTTTGAGACCATCCTGGCCAACGTGGTGAAACCCTGTCTCTGCTGAAAATACAAAAACTAGTCAGGTGCGGCGGCAGGCGCCTGTAATCCCAGCTACACGGGAGGCTGAGGCAGGAGAATTGCTTGAACCTGGGAGGCAGAGGTTGCCATGAGCCGAGATTGAGCCACCGCACTCCAGCCTGGGAGACAAGGGAAACTCCGTCTCAAAAAAAGAAAAAAAAAAAAAAAAAAAAAACTCAAAGGAGATGGAGATACCAGTCAGACCAAAGTCACTGAATGACTCAGCAGCAGAGCTAGAATTAGAATGTGACAAGGTTTCCACCGCGGAGTCTTCTGACACCACTTTTGCAGAGAATAAGCTAACACTGCATGACTTTTCCTTCTCCAGTTGTGCCCAATAACTCTGAAGCAGCTACAGAGATCCAGGCTGTAAATGAGGAGCCTGAAGTCTTAGAATATACAGAAGTAACCATCTGGATGCATTTTCTGGTGATCAAAAAATTACTCTGTAACTTCTCTTCAACAAGAAAAATAAATAGAAGAGGATAGTAAAGACCTTCTAGGATACCAGTCATATAACAATTATTGAAGAGTGGTGATTAAACATCAGATGGTTAAGGTGTTTTCTTAAACTATAATTACCATGCATTTTAGAGGTTGATATCCTCTACAGAGCTAGAAGTGGTAGCTGCTTTTAACATAGAATGTAAGTACAAATCTCTCCATGTAATTATTATAACCCAGGTATGAAGAAAAGCTCACAGGATTTAAAAACCACCCCTGTAGCCAGGCACAGTGGCTCACACCTCTAATCCCAGCACTTTGGGAACCCAAGGCAGGTGGATCGCTTGAGCTTGGGAATTCAAGACCAGCCCTGGCAACATGGTGAAACCCCGTCTCTACAAAAAATTAAAAAAAATTAGCTGGACATGGGTGGCATGTGCCTGTAGTCTCAGCTACTTGAGGGAGCTGAGGTGGGAGGATCGCTTAAGCCCAGGAGGTCAAGGCTGCAGTAAGCCATGTTTGCACCACTGCACTCCAGCTGGGTGACAAAAGTGAAGCCCTGTCTCAAAAAATAAAAATAAAAACCACCTCTGCTTTGCTCACTTCCTCTCTTAATAAAACATGTATAGAAGACTTTGAGCTCAATGGATTACATATGCATCATACTTAGATATTTTACAAAGAACATGAGACTAGGGTTATTGAGAACATATTCCATGAAGAAAAATGTCAGATACACAAAGTGAAAGGGAGAAGGGAAGCGAAGCAAACATAGGGGAAATACATTTTAATGATCAAGTTAATGCAGTTAGCAAAATATAAAAACTCCCTGTGATCTTGGGTTGAGACAAAGCTGCAAATCTGTGATCCATGAGGATTTACAGAGCTTTCCCACTTCACATCGCAAGGACTCTCCTGTCAATACCAGCACACTCACCCCTCTGATGAGGTCCTCTACATTATCATGTGGGAAGGAACGGATGGCAGCAATTGTTCGGATTAAGCGCTCTGAGAGAGAGTATTTGCTCTGAATGCTCTGCATAATATACCACATACTGGAACTCATCAAGGCTCAGGGTGTTCACATGCTCCAAACTACCTGAAACAAAGAAGTTTTCGGCATATACAGTATTACTGAGCACACCTGTCTTTAGGGTTAGGTGTTCTCTGAGGCCTTCCCTTCCCAATACTAAAAGCAGATTTCAAGGAATGATTAACACTATTTTCATAATCATAAGGAATTGGATAATAGTTGCCTAGGGAGTTCGATAAACTTGGACACAAGATTTCCCCAAGAGGTACTAAGACTCCCATGGAGCTCTGTGTGGTTTACAAACAAGACTAGGCAAGGAATAGGATTTTTAAAAGGCTGAGGAGGTCACAAAACATTATTTTCCTTCTTTGAATTTTGTGGTTTTTATGATCAGCACCACCGTTAAGTTATTTATAACACTGGGCCTTGCAATATAGTTATGTACATATTGTTTCTCCAACTATACTGTAATCAACTGGAAGGCAAGGACTTTGTCTTCTATTCTTTCATCCATGTAAGGCCAGCCACCGAATCTCACAAAAGGTAGGTATTTAACAAACATTGGTTGGTTACGACTAAACAGTATAGAAGTGATTGTCATCTGTGAAAAGATAGGAAGAAGGCTATGGAGCAAATATATCTAAATAATGAAAAGGCATCTGAAATATTTTCAAATGTCTTCAGAAGAGATAAAAGAAATATTTGAGGTAATAGTCTAAAATAAGAAAGGAAAGCACAAGTATAACTACCCTAGAATCATCTATATAAAACTAAGAAAAAATTAAAGTTCACAATAATAAAATATACTTTCAGTTTTAGGAAAATTTGAAGATTTTAAAATGAGTTAAAGGCGGAGCGTGGTGGCTCACACCTGTAATCCCAGCACTTTGGAAGGCTGAGGTGGGTGGATCACCTGAGGTTTTAATCTCTCCAGTAGCCACAAAACTGCTCTGAGACAAGTGTCTGTATCTTATAACTTTTTTGTTTCAAGGAAAAAAAATACAGAGGTGCCTTTGAGTTGGTAATTCCAAGAACAGCAGCAGAAGACAGAGCATCTAAAGCAGGAGGCTTGGACCAAAGTAGTTCTGCTGCCTGTAATCCCAGTACTTTGGGAGGCCAAGGCAAGAGGAGCTCTTGAACCCAGAAGTTCAAGACCAGCCTGGTCAACATGGCGAGACGACCCCAAAACCCAACCGTCTCTACAAAAAAAATTCAAAAATTAAAATAAATTTTAAAAGTGGTTTTGTTAACCATTTCTGGGCCATGATAATCTGATGAAACTAAACTCTGCACTCATTTTCCAGGCGCTCTTGGACTCCGGGCTAAGAACTCCTGAGAGTATGGTCAGCGGTCTGCTACTGCCTGGAAGCTCCCGGTAAAGGAATGAAACTTCAGGGCAGATTGACAGCATTCACTGTGAGGAAGGGTCAAGGAAATCTAAATTCGATCTCACCAGACAGCAGCCCGTGTACGGTTTGATTCCCTTGGAAGGCCCTTTCCTCTGCTAGAGCTGAACGCCCTGTCTCCCTCGTTTTCTTTTGCTACAGGATCCAGAGAAAACACCAAAGGGCATTTACTGCGAAGCTGGGGAAAACAAAACAAAACAAAACAAAACAACAAAACCGCAAAATGGAAAAGAAGACACAACAGCTCTGATGCGAGGAGGCCTCGGCCCCGTCCCCTCCCGCCCCAGGAGAACCTTGGCGGAGCCCGCACCGCCCCTAATCCCACCGCACCTGCTGCGGGAGGGGTCGCGGCAGCTGTCTAGCTGAGACTAGGGGGCGGGGGGCAAGGGTACGAAATGCAAGGACGTGCGGTGTCACTTTCCGCACCGGCTCCCAGCAAATCGCAGCAATCCCGGCAGGTCTGGTACTGAAAGAGAATCACGCAGTTTGCGCTGGGGAGCCTCAGACGCGGACCAACCCCTCCCGGATCTGCCTCCTAAGGCCCGGAACTAAGTCTCAGCCTCGGGAGCTAGAGCACTTCCACTGGGGAGCAGAGGAAGCGTTATTGGGCGTGGTACCCTGGGTTAGGACACCTGGCTGTAGACCCGCACCAAGGACCGCACTCACCCAATTGCCGGGCTGAGGTGGGTGTTGAAAGCCGCTGTCAAGGCGTGACCCGGAAGCAGAAGCTGTCGGGGGCAGGCCCCTCTGTTTACAGGACAAGAAGACTAACTAAGATGGGCGCCTGCGTACTGATGAGTGTTCGTCACTGGGGCGCGCCTGCGCAGACTTGTGCAGCAGCTTCCGTCCTCACTAGGCCTAGTTAGGGGGTTACTTTCTCCTTTTCACAGAGGCTTTGTGCGCAGGCTCAATGCGGCGTTCTCGGCCACAGCGGCAGGGTTCGGGTCTTGGTCCTGCAGTGGGGAAAAAAAAGCTCAGGAACCCTGGGCGTTGGGCCGATTCTATATGGTTGCACCTGCGTGGACCAGGCCAGCAGGGGGTCCATCCACAATGGTTCAGTTACTTAGGAGACTAAACTCCTAATAAGAAGTGTCTGTGACAAATAAAAATACTTCCAGCATTATTCATAATGGTGGAACGAATCTATACTCCTTAGAACCCTCCTGTACATTGTCCACTCTCCTTCAAGTAAACCATATCAAAGACAAACTCAACTACCCAAGAGGTATAATATTCTGAATGTAGAGGAATAAATGACCTTTATTTATAACTCTTATTAGGGTTAATGAACCTTCCTGTGCAAAGACATGATGACACCTCTGAGTGACAGACTTTCTGTGCAAAGTATAAACATTTTAAAGTCAGCAGCACATGGTGGTGGTGCATGGAAGGAGTGAAGCAGCCCATTCAGGCAGACTGCAAGAGTTGTGGTCTGCCCAGCAGCCTGTTTAACCAGAGTGCCCCACACTTACTCCCCAAAGCTTGTTCTAAGCAACCAAATCTAACCAATTAGAGATTTAAAGCAGGCCCAGACAGTTCATGTACATCATTGAGAGGATGGTGAACTGAAAGTTCATGACCTGGTCTGAGGAGTGGGCCTCCTTTGAGCTCCAGACTCAAAGGAATTTTGCCAGGTAGGCATATGCCCTCCACTTCCTGCCACTGCACCATGGTGAGATTGTCCATTTTTTTCAAAAGAAGCTGAAATACAGATTTTCTAAAAAAGTGAATTCTTCCAAGTTGCAAATGTTGGCAGTGTTTTTTTTGTTTGTTTGTTTTAATTTTTGAGACGTAGTTTCACTCTTGTCACCCAGGATGGAGGGCAATGGCGTGATCTCAGTTGGCTGCAACCTCAGCCTTCTGGGTTCAAGTGATTCTCCTGCCGAAGTAACTGAGACTATAGGCACCTGCCACCACACCCGGCTAATTTTTTTTTTTTGTATTTTTAGTAGAGATGAGGTTTCACAATGTTGGCCAGGCTGGTCTCAAACTCCTGACCTCAGGTGATCAACCCTCCTCGGCCTCCCAAAGTGCTGGGATTATAGGCGTGAGTCACCATGCTGGACCACATCTCTCAAATTTCTTGGTTGGGAAATGCTGAAGTATATAAATTCTGGGAAACCATCAGCATCTTACAAATGTAAGAATGAATGGAGTCTCCCAGGGAGTGATAAAATAGGCTCTCAATACAGGTTATTCTACTTATTTATTGAAACACTGAATACACTTTTATTTTACATGGCGTGCAACTCAGTATATGCAGAAAAGTACTCTGTGTCACACTCATGATCAATATCCTCTTATTTCCATTTGGCGTGTCTTTGAAAACCTAGCACATCGCTAAGCTAAAAATCACATGAAAGACCCCTAGAGAAATCAAACTAACTTTTTCCCCCCAAACAGTAGATCTCATCTTTATTAGTCAAATCAGCATCTGCTGATAGTGCAGTGGAGCAAAGCTGACAGTGATATTCATTAACAAAGAAGACAAAACTTACGCTTTCAGGTATAAAGATCAACTCTGAATGACAGAGAGCCTAATCTATCATCAGCCACCAAGAACTCAGAAGAGCAAATAACTCAAGAAGAGAGAAGCCAAAGCACTATGAAAATTATTCTTTTCTGTGAAATTCAGTTCCACAGCCTGTATGAGCAAGGGTCTGAAACACTGGAGAGCCAACAAAGCTGCTGGGAGGGCCCATTCATAATGGGAGATGTACTGGCTGTGCCTCCCTATGCTGTGTCCTTCCATGAGCTTCCTCCACTCTTTACGGACTTCATTTTGACTTGGTCCTCTGGTCTCACCACAGCTACTTGGGAGACTTTGAGTTGTTATCTTACAGTTCCAAGAGTCTGTTTTGACTGAACCCAAGAGTAACATGGCAATCCACAATAGAAGCGTTCTCATGGTACAATGGTACAAAGGTCATTCTGTAGGTTGCATATATATATATATAAAAAATTCTAATTCCATATAAATATATATATATTTATATGGAAGACAAAGCTTCTTCTTTTTTTTTTTTTTTTAGACAAAGTCTCACTCTGTTGCCCAGGCTGCAGTGCAGTGGCATGATCTCGGCTTACTGCAACCTCCACCTCCCAGGTTCAAGCAATTCTCCTGCCTCGGCCTCCTGAGTAGCTAGGATTACACGCCTGGCTAATTTTCGTCCTTTTTTTTTTTTTTTTTTTTTGAGACAGAGTCTCGCTCTGTCGCCCAGGCTGGAGTGCAGTGGCACGATCTTGGCTCACTGCAAGCTCTGCCTCCCAGGTTCACGCCATTCTCCTGCCTCAGCCTCCCGAGGAGCTGGGACTACAGGCACCCACCACCACACCCAGCTTATTTTTTTGTATTTTTTAGTAGAGATGGGGTTTCACTGTGTTAGCCAGGATGGTCTCGATCTCCTGACCTCGTGATCCGCCCGCCTCAGCCTCCCAAAGTGCTGGGATAACAGGCGTGAGCCACCGCGCCCGACCTCAATTTTTGTATTTTTAGTAGAGACGGGGTTTCACCATGATGGCCAGGCTGGTCTCGATCTCCTGACCTCAGGAGATTCACCCACCTTGGCCTCCGAAAGTGTTGGGATTACAGGCATGAGCCATCGCGCCTGGCCACTTCCTTCCTCTTTAACAAGAGAATGTTGCACCCAGCATCACTGCTTTGGCTAGCTCTTTTTTCCTGTGTGCCCTCACGTGTGCAGCAATTGAACTGGCTAACAATTTCTGCATTCTTCCTGGTCTAGCCAAAATAATCTGGAAACTCACCATCTAGCCCAATCAAAGACATTATTATTGTATGATTCACTAACATAGTCTTCATCTTCATCCTTGGGGCTAGAGCTATAATATACTCTGTATGCTCTGGCCACATGATTGATCTCTTCTTTTGTGCCAGTCAAGCCAACCAGTTTGGGAGAAAATTCTTTCACATAATTTGCAATGGCCTTTTTTGTGTCCCTCTCTGGGTCAATGGTGATGAAAAGTTAAATTTGGCAGAGTTGGAATACTATCTCATCCACAACTTGAATCATTTTTTCTAGTTCTTCTGCAAAGATATCAGTAATGACTGAAACAAGAGTAAATCAACAGCCACTGACCCAGGCAGTCTTTGTCAGTTTTAGGCTCTCCAAATGTGTTGTGAGGGAAAATGGTCCCCCAATAAAGGCTTGTTGATGCTTCACTGCTGTTTCTTCTCTAGCTTCTGTCTTTTCTATTTTGAATACTTCACTCCAGCCAGTAAACCTCCTCCCATAGCAAATGTGAATGCTAAAGACTTCCAAGAAATAGACCTGAGCTTCAAGGGGCGTGTGCAGTCTCTACAGTCCTTCTGCTCAGGCCCTGACCACCTCAAGGGTGGTTGGTGGTATCACTGCCTGAGGGGCCGGCTTCCCAGGCAGCTACCAGCGAGCCTCCAGTCATGCCACACTTCCTCTTGCATGCAGAATTGCCTTGGCAACACTCTCACTGTCTACTTGGCTGGGCCCCAAAGCTCATGTCAGCCAGGCAAGAGGCGCCAAAGTTGCCCCATACTGGTTACTTTGAAGTGTCTCTGAGAATTCAATGCACAATGAAAGTTGGTTTCAGATACATTCAACCATCCTTTCATCAAACATTTACTGAGCACCTACTTTGTTCCAGGCTTTGTGCTCAACTCTCCAGGGAAGACAGAAATGGAGAGAGACAGTCTCTTATCATCAAGGGTTGGGAGACAGATATGAACGTCCTCAGTTGCAATTAAAGATGATTATTTCAACAACATTGTTATGTCCAAAGTCACTGTTGACAAATGGTTCTACCTTATGGTGAGCTCAAGAGAGTGAAGGAAGGGTCTGTGAAGAGACTTCTTGGGGAGAAATTTGTATGTGCTGAGTCCCCACTCTCCTCCTATCCAGAGGGAAAGGAAGTACTGATGTTGCCTGAAGAGGGGCTTCTGTGGGATCAGAGAGCTTGAAGATTGTTCCCCATAATTGTAAAACAAAAACTGCACCAATACGTACTTATAAATTAAAGAGGGCTGCAGCCACAAAGTACATGTGGCTGCATTGGGATCTGTCTGGACACCCAGATTCAGCAGGGATGACAAATGTGTAAATGTTTACCTGGACCAGATGTGGGCCACATGAAGACAGCCAACTTGGGGTTACCTTTTGTCCATCCAAATGGGCTGTCTAGAGGTATGGGGGGACCCAGTGGCCAGAAGCCAGAAATGAACACAGGGGTGCTACAATCCACAGTTTGTCACAGTCAACCACTTGCACTGGTTTTGGCCAAAGGAACTCAAGTAAGATATCTCTGGTGATGGGAATCTGCAAAGAACCTTTAAAAGCACGCTTTAAGAAAAAGAGTCAGCTTTAACCATGTGCAAGACCCAGGTAGTACAGACCTACCCTACCAAGAAAGAAAAGCCTGCCCTATCTCCTTAGCTGTTTTTGTTTTTGTTTTTTGTTTTCTGAGATGAAGTCTGACTCTGTCACCAGGCTAGAGTACAGTGGTGCGATCTCGGCTCACTGCAACCTCCACTTCCCAGGTTCGAGTGATTCCTCTGCCTAAGCCTCCCAAGTAGCTGGGATTACAGGCAGGCACCACCATGCCTGCCTAATTTTTGTAGTTTTAGTAGAGAAGAGGTTTCACCATCTTGGCCTGGATGACGTCGATCTCTTCACCTCATGATCCTCAAGGCCCACCTTGGCCTCCCAAAGTGCTGGGATTACAGGCCTGAGTCACCATGCCCGCCGAGACTATTTGGTTTAAAGTGACTGTTACTTAAAGGATTGCCAGTTATCAAAGAGTTAATCAAAAAGTCAGGGAATCTTCCCAATTTTCTATTCAGGAGCAGGAGAAGATTATTATCCTCCAGTAAAAAATGTTTTTGTTTGTTTGTTTGTTTGAGATGGAGTCTGGCTCTGTCACCTAGGTTGGAGTGCAGTGGTGCCATCTTGGCTCACTGCAACCTCTGCCTCTTAGGTTCAAGCAATTCTCGAGCCTCTGCCTCCTGAGAAGCTGGGATTACAGGTGACCGCCACCACGCCCAGCTAATTTTTTGTATTTTTAGTAGAGACAGGATTTC